AACAAGTCAAAGGTCATCTAAAGTTTCTGCTATTTCACCTTCTAGACATTTTCTAGGTCTTGAATTTTACTTTAGGGTTATGATCCACATCGTGTTACATTTTTTATTGTTACATTTGGGTTGACTATGAAATGTCCCTCATAGGCTTGTTAATCCCACTGATCAAGAATAAGATCACTACCACAGTTTAAAGCCAAATCTGAAACAAGCTTTAATTAAACACTGGTCAGGTGAATGGGCTCTGGCCAGGTCCATACCCAGGTTCCCAGGAAATGTCCTAGAACTTAAGAAGGAAAACCCATAATTCTCTGCATTTCCCATCAGGTCCAATCAGGGGCAAGCATACATCCTGACACATTTCCTGCCTACGTACCTCCTGCTCACGTGGTCAAGCACATCGGTGCAGATGGGTCAGACAACTTGTTTAGGGGAGTGAAAACATGTGACTTGTCATCTCCCATAAACAATAGCCTCCAGCGCTGTCTTTTTATTTGATCTTTGCTGCCTTTTAAGCCATGGCTGTCCGAATCAGCAACTGCAACTCCATTGCTACCAGCAGTGGTCAGGCCGCAAGGGCTGTAGCTGAAGGGAAATCTGGTCCCTCTTGCAAAGCTACGGAGGGAACTTAATTAAACCCCTGTCCCTCTAAAGAACTCAAGAGTCAAAGGTTAAGGTGGAACCTGTTCTTCAGAGAGGCTGAATAGCAAGTAGCTCACCTCCTTTCCTTGCTCTCCTCCTCCAAAAAGCCCTCCTGCTTCTCCTCACCCCTCCTTACAAACCCTTCTCTACCTGGCTCCTCCCACTTCCTGTCAGCTAGTTGCTGACGCAGCCTCCTGACTGCAGGTGAATTTTATTTAATCAAACACATCTTTGAATCATTAAACAAATGTTCTAGAGCATAAACAAAAGTAACACACCTTAAAATAATATTCTACAACACTCCAGCATTTCAGGAATTATCTCTCCTTGGGCAAGGGGCTTGCAGATCAGAGGCATTTTTGTTTGTTTTATGGATCTCTATGGCATAGTGATTAAAATGTAACTTTGGCTCTCACAGGTTCACATACTGGGAGCTTGGTTGTCAAACAGATGAGCCTTTGGGAAGTGATTGCGTTCTGGGGGCTCTGACCTAATCACTGGAGTAATCCCTTGATGGATTTCTCATATGATACCCTTGTTGGAAAATGCTGGGAAGCAAGAGGTAGGGCCCGGTTGAAAGAAGTAGACTGATGGAAGTGTACCTTTGAAGGACGCATCATCTCTCATTCTTGCTCTCACTCTCCACTTCCTGTCTGCCATGAGGTAAAGCCGCTTTACCTCTGCCACATGCTTTCTGATAGGTATTTTTGTATCCCCAGTAGTGGGTTTCTCCTCCAATGCAGTAAGCCAAATCGAGCTGAATTCAAAAGTAAAGGACCAGGTTTAATCTGAGCAAAGCACTCCCAGGTGACTCAGGAAAGGAAACAGGAGAGAAATCACACACCCTGTAGGGACCGGGGCTTAACTACTCAATAGGTTCTGTAGGCATGGTCTTGAGCTTAGGGGGAGGAGCCTGGGTTTTTGGTAGTCTGATTAGTTTAAGGAAAATTGGCAAGAAACAAGCCACGCTAAGACCAGGCATTTATAATTAAGAATAAGCCTCCGTGTGTGATTTATTTTGGGAGCTGGGTGGCAGGCCCCCCAAAAGAGTGAAAAAACAATCAACAACACAAAGTAAACCATCACTTTAAATAGAAAATAGATAAAATAGAAAACAAGCTGGGACAGATCTGAGTATCAAGGTGATGGCTGAATCACCACATAGGAATCATTTAAGTAGCCTGAAGCACAGAAGTTTGGCTCTCTCTCTCTAGTTGGAAAGGGCCTGAAAGGTGTAAGAATTACAAAAGAGAAATTACTATAAGTATTTAGAAACGTCTTAAGCAATGGGTCAAAAATAAAACCTTTCTTCTTTTACTAGTTTCCCTAAGGTATTTGTCATAGCCAGGGAAAAGTTAGCATTTCCACTCCAGACATTCCTTGGCGAGGTCTTTGCATAAAGCCCCTGTGTAAACACTTAAAAAATAAATCCAGTCTTGTGGGTATTCAGACTTCTCGTTCTCTTCATCAATATTTTCCTAAAGCCTGGGACTGTCTCTCATTCATGCAGTTCAGGATTTCCCTTCCCACTGCACAACTCTTGCCTCCTTTCCCAGTGGTTTCTACTGGACTAGCCTGTCACGGCAGACAGGGACTTCCTTCTCTGAGAAGAACAAAGCACCAAGAACAGTTATGCAAATAAGGAAGCAGGAAGCACTTCCAAAGTCTCCAAGATAGGGAAGCTGTCATTATTAGGACAGGGGAGACATATTCAGGGGATGGAGCCATCCGCACTTGGGTGCAACAGGAGTATGCTGTGGAGGCGAGGCTTCAGCTCTTCCCTGGCTGAAGATTTGGGGATGGATGAGTAAAGGCACTTACCATACTTACCATGCAAAGACTTGAGTTCAATCTCCAGAACAGTCATCCTGAGGCCTCACAAATACCGTGGCGATACACACAATAATAATAATAAAAATAAAAATCATGAAATTTGTCTGTAGTGTTCATACTGTTTCATTAGAGTGTCATCTTTCTAAGACATATATAAAGTTATTTATACATTAAACACCCCAAGTGAAGATAAGGCACAGTGGTGCACTCCTGTTGCTAGAGTTTCCCGCCTTGCCCACAGTCAGGACAAATCTTTGTCACCCGCAGTCCCACAATCCACTTATAAAATAATCACTCAGACGCTTATATCACTTATAAACTGTATGGCCGTGGCAGGCTTCTTGCTAACTGTGCTTATAGCTTAAATTAGTCCATTTCCATAAATCTATACCTTGCCACGTGGCTGGTGGCCCACCGGCATCTTCACATGCTGCTGGTCATGGCGGCATCTGGCAGTCAGTCCTTCTGCCTTCCTGTCCTTTTATTTCTCCTCTCTGTTAGTCCCGCCTATCCTTCCTGCCTAGCCACAGCTGATCAGGTTTTATTTATTGATCAATCAGAACAACTTGACATACAGACCATCCCCCAGCACAGCCAAGTGCAGACCATCTCAGACACCTGCACTCAGGCCCATGGTCCTAATCATCCTCTATGCGGACCTGCTGGGTAACGCCACAAAGAACCCAAGAAGGGCTCCCACAGGACATACAGAACATCCCACAGCACACACCTGTAATTATAGCACTTGGAAACTAAAAGCAGGAGGATTACCATGAGTTTAGGCTATGAAGTAAGTTGTTCCCAGCCAGTTTGAACTACATAGCAAGACCCTGTCTCAAAAGCAAACAAGTAAATAAATAAGCATGCTTATATGTTTTTATAAATCTGCACGTCTCTTTTGGTTTTTGCCCTGTGATGTGAAGAAACAGTGTTAACTGCCCCGTTGGAAAGTTCATATTCTGGATCCGACAGTCCCACCCTCTTTCTTTCTTTCTTTTTCTTTCTTTTCTTTTTTTTTTTTTTTTTTTTTTTTTTTTTTTTTTGAGACAGGGTTTCTCTGTGTAGCTTTGGAGCCTGTCCTGGGACTCCCTTTGTAGACCAGGCTGTTCTTGAACTCACAGAGATCCACCTACCTCTGCCTCCCAAGTGCTGGGATTAAAGGTGTGCGTCACCACTGCCCGGTCTACCCCCTTTCATTTTACGTGTGGGGATATATTGCTTGCATGTGTGCCGTAGGAATTTAGCAGAGTCACTGTATCCGGGGTAGATATTAGAACAGAACAGCTGTCTTTTAGAAGTACTTTGACCTTGAAGAATCCTTGTGGAAAACAGTGATTGTTTCCCATGATTTGCAAAATTGTTTTGCTGAAGGGACATTGCAACCATCCCATGACTGGTCACAAGACGCCTCAGGCACATCTGAGGCTCTTGTATTATTGTGTATTGTACACAATGCCATCATAAAGGACTAGAGTCATGGGGGCACGTGATGCTCTCCTTTAGTAAGACAGTAAATTAGACCTTGGTATGAGGAAATACTTCGTGTAACAAACAATAAATACGCCTTTGTACTGTTCGGGTTTCAGTCCATCAGAGAAGCGGGACCTCCCTGCTGCTGCCACGTAGGCCTTAAAATCTCATCTTGGGAGTGCCTTCTTTCTTCTTTCTGCATGGTGCACCCTGACACATGTATGTCCATAGACCACACGAGTGGCCTCGTGCCCTCAGAGACCAGAAGAGGACATCAGATGGTTAACTCTGGTGTGAGGTCCAGCAAAAGTTCCAGTCTCTTTGAGCCTAAGAGATATTTTATCTTAATGCATTGCCAGAAAACAAAAAGTTTCCCTACCACAGACTTCTTACTGACTTGAAATTCAAAGCAAGAATATAGATATTATTATTATTATATTAATTTACTTTCCAAGACAGGGTTTCTCTGTGTAGTCCTGGCTGTCCTGGAACTCACTCTGTAGAGCAGACCAGCCTCAAACTTAACAGAGAAATCCACCTGCCTCTGCCTCTGGAGTGCTGGGACTAAAGGCGCGCGCCACCACCGCCCAGCTCTGGCCCCCATTCTTTATCTTTGTTTTTTTTTGTTTTTGTTTTTTCGAGACAGGGTTTCTCCGTGTAGCTTTGCACCTTTCCTGGAACTCACTCTGTAGCCCAGGCTGTCCTCAAACTCACAGAGATCGGCCTGGCTCTGCCTCCCGAGTGCTGGGGTTAAAGGTGTGCGCCACCACCGCCCGGCTTTTTTTTTTTTTTTTTTTTTTTAAGATTTATTATTTTTATGTGTGTTTTGCCTGAATGTATGTCTGTGTGAGGGTTGCCAGATCCCCTGGACCTGGGGTTACAGCTGTGAGCTGCCATGTAGGTGCTGGGGGTTGAACTCAGGACCTGTAAGCCATCTCTCCAGCATCCACTCCGTTCTTTACCTTTAGACGTTACTCACTGAAATGATTCCTCTCTAGAGGCTATGTTAATTGATTCGATCATGGACACCCTATAAGCCAGGCCAACTATACGTAACAATGCTGTGGCAGCCATTCCGCGCAGGCAGGTCTCGTTACCGCGGAGGGGCCCTCCCCAGACCCCTCCAGGTCTCACACCTAGGGAAATGGACGCTCCAGCTAGCCAACAGCAAGCCTCCTCAGGTAGAGGAGCATCCAGAAGGAGACACACTGGGACCGCCCCTCGCACTCCCCTCTGAGGACCCCTTCCGCTCTTCCCCGAGGCAGCCTTCTTCCGCCCTTCGACCCGCCCACCCACTTCCCGTGGGCTGCTCGGGGTTCTCGGGGGGAGGGGGGGG